ATCTATCTATCTATCTATCTATCTATCTCATGCTGTTCACATCCATCTATCTATCTATCTATCCATCTATCTATCATATCTATCTCATGCTGTTCACATCTATCTATCTATCTATCTATCTATCTATCTCATGCTGTTCACATTCATCTATCTATCTATCTATCTATCCATATCTATCTATCTATATATCTCATGCTGTTCACATCTATCTATCTATCTATCTATCTATCTATCTATCTATCTCATGCTGTTCACATCTATCTATCTATCTATCTATCTATCTATCTATCTATCTATCTATCTCATGCTGTTCACATCTATCTATCTATCTATCTATCTATCTATCTATCTATCTATCTATCTCATGCTGTTCACATCTATCTATCTATCTATCTATCTATCTATCTATCTATCTATCTATCTATCTATCTATCTATCTATATTTAATCTGTTCCTATCTATATATGTTTCTTATATGTTCTTTTTCTCTTTCTTTCTGTGTTTCTTTACAACTTTTTTCTTTCTGATATCTCCTCCTTCACTCTTACTTTATTTTCATTCTATTTTTCTCGTTCTTTCATCCTTTTTCCAATTTTGTTCTTTTATTTTATTTTATTTTTCTCAATTTTTTTCTTTACGGTATTTTTCTTCTTGAATATTGCCTTTTTTTCTTTCTTTTGTTTCTCTCTCTCTCTCTCTCTTTCTTTCTTTCATATATCGGCTCTTTTCTCTTTCTTTTCGATATCTTTCTTTCTGATGCCCCTTTCATTCTCTCTTTCTTCCGCTATATTTCTTTCTTCTTTGTTTTATATATTCTTTTTTTTTTCTGCTTTCTTCCCCCGCCCCCGATATCTTTCTTTCTGATGTATTCACTTTCACTCTCTTTCTTCTGTTATATTTGTTTGCCTTTCTTTCTTTCTTTCTTTCTTTCTTTCTTTCTTTCTTTCTTTCTTTCTTTCTAAGAGTACACTTTCATTTCTCTTTTTCCCTCTCCCTATCTTGTATTGTTTCTCTTCGACAATTTTACTTTAATCTTCTTTTTCAACTGCTTTTCCCCTCACCTTTGACAACGCTTCCTATTCCACAAAATATTGTCTCCCCTCCCCTTCAATACGCTTCCCCGACTCCTCGCCCCCCTCCCCGCCTTTGTACGAGTACGTGCGCAATCCTACTCCGCCACCCACGTTCGACGATATTCGGTCAAGTATTGATCCTTCTCGCTTCTTTCTTTCAGGATGCCAGGAATTATTGAGAGAAAGAACGAGGTTAGGGAGTCAGTGGCGTCAGGGTGGGGTAAAAGGAGTCAGAGAAGAGATGGATGTTGTCGAAGAAAGGTCGGATGTGGGAGGATAAAAAGAAAGTAAAAGTAGAGAAAGAAAGAAAGAAAGAAAGAAAGAAAGAAAGAAGAGTGAGGAATATATGAAAGAAGAGAAGGAGGAGGAAGATATGTAAGAAGATAGGAACATATCAAAAAAAGTAGAAAAAAGCAAGAAGTGAAAGAATAAAAGAAGAGGAAGAGAGGGAGATATGGAAAAAGAAGAGAGGAAGATAAGAAGAAGAAGAAGAAGAAGAAGAAGAAGAAGAAGAAGAAGAAGAAGAGAACATAAAAGAAGAAGAAAAAAAGAAGAAGTGAAAGAATAAAAGAAGAGGAAGAGAGGGAGATATGGAAGAAGAAGAAGAAGAAGAAGAAGAAGAAGAAGAAGAAGAAGAAGAAGAAGAAAACATAAAAGAAGAAGAAAAAAAGAAGAAGTGAAAGAATAAAAGAAGAGGAAGAGAGGGAGATATGGAAGAAGAAGAAGAAGAAGAAGAAGAAGAAGAAGAAGAGAACATAAAAGAAGAAGAAAAAAGAAGAAGTGAAAGAATAAAAGAAGAGGAGGAGAGGAAGATATGAAAGAAGAAAAAGGAAAAAAGGAGAGGAACATATGAAAGAAGAAGAAAAAAAGCAAGAACTGAAAGAATAGAAGGAGAGGAAGAGAGGAATATATGACAGAAGAAGAAGAGGAAGAAGAGGAAGATATGAAAGAAGAAGAAAAAGAAAAAGAAAGAGGCGACAGAACAGAAGGAACGGAAGATTTGAAAGGCAGAAATAAAAGCAAAAATAGACGAAGGTGGAAGAACAAAAAGCGAAAAAAAGAAAAATTTAAAGAAGAAAATGAAAAGGCGGAATGATTACTAGAAGGAGAAGGTAAGAAAAGTGAAGGTAAAATAATTTATAAAAAGAAGAAAGAAAAAAGGAGAATAAGAAAACGAAAAAGAAGATCAACATTAAAAGCCGAAAGGACGGGGGGGGGTGCAAAAGTAGATAAAAAGAAGATTCAAAGTAACGAGAAAAGGGGAAAATATTCCTGGAAGGCGAAAACAGTGATGATGATGATGATGATGATGATGATGATGATGGGTGAAAAGAGGGGAGAGGGGGCGCTAAACAAGAATTGAGGAAGAAATGAGTGTCTAATGCCCGGATGGTCAATAAGGACGTGTCAGCATTTGAAAAACAAGGGTAAAATATCACTTATATTAGCCGATAATAAAAAGTATACACACTTTTATAGATATATTTACATAAATAATATATTTCTATTTTGGGATTTATTTTTAATCCGACATTTTTAATAACTTCACATATCATTATTAGTTGATACCCGCATTTGAAACAGACATCCCTTTCTTTATATTTGTTTTTATACACGGTTTAAATTTTTTTTAAATAAAAATTGGGCGTCTATTTCAAATATAAGTATCCAGTATAATAACATTTGAAGTAATATGAATATTAGTAAATATTTATCTATGTCTGTGTAAGTATTTACGGATTTACTAAGTGTAGTTCAGATCTGGCACAAGGCTGAATGTATTGAGCATTCAGACTCACACACGATCAGGAAAACCGTAACCCTATTAGGGTCTAAAGTAGACCACATGTACTATCCCCGTAATAGCAGTGATGGGCAATATAGCCTGATGGAGACCAACCTCCTCCAGGGTGGTTTTGAATTCAGACTTTTACTTGTAGGCCAGTTGCTAGTCCTGGGTATGACGAGGAACTACATCTGGCAACAAGGCATCTATTCGGGTGATTGGAGGTTTCGAGGAGCGTGGTACAACCTCTTAATTGTTGTTGTTCCAGGGGGTCCTCCCTGACCGGGAGTGGTAGCACCTGTTAGGGTCCCAGCTTTGGGCAAATAGTGAACCCCCAAACAAGAACGGAACATTATGGAAGTATAAAAATATGTTTTTATAGAAAAATGCAGCAATAAATTTTTTATATAAAACAAATCGCCAACAATACATTTTATCTTTAGTTGAAGCCTTAAAATTGCGTTCGAAATATTTAGATTTCGACTTTAAATAACTCATAAAGGTTATAGTTATTTGCTAAGCGTGGCTGTGGCACAAGGCCGAAAGTATGGGACACCTAGTGAGGATCGAACTCACTTTTCAGTCATAACTGATCTAGCGAGACAAGCTTGTTAACCATTACACCACGCCGAGGTGCCTAACTCCTAGAGGTTATATGCCGCTAAACAAAATCTATTAACCACCCAACACGCAAGAACTCTTTCATGACATTAATCCATATAATATCCTACAATTTCTAAAGAAAACAAACTGTATTCCAGAATATAACTTCAACAAAACTACAACGTAAAACACACACACATTACCGACTTTATTAATTATGTTCACACAAACATGTATATGCAGAAAAGCTGAGTATCATCTACCATGTATTCAATTGTGAAAGCAGAATAACATATATCATATCATTAATAACTTCAAAGCTCGCAAGAAAATGACCCATGAGAAGTTTATATGCCGTTAAATAAACAAATCAATAATTAGACCGGTTGCCTTCCATAGCTATAGAACCCAGTCTATCACGCTATTTACTGAGTAGGAGGGTTCTGAATAACATGTAACGAACTTGAATGAAATTGAACTCTCTCTTTCTTTATCTGTCTGTCTGTCTGTCTGTCTGTCTGTCTGTCTGTCTCTCTCTCTCTCTCTCTCTCTCTCTATATATATATATATATATATATATATATATATATATATATATATATATATATACAATGCTCAAATTTTTGCAAGCACACACAAACACAAAACACGCATATACACATGAATTTTGCTGCCACGTAAAGTCTGGTGTCCCTGCTATATATTTACAGATCATTGATAAATGCAATGTCATTGGCCTTGTCATGGCACCTCGGCTTCAGTCACTTTCCCACCACCTTAATATAGCTTCTTTGTGCCTTTTCCATAAATACTTCCATGGTAATTTTTCTGACGAACTCTCTTCTATAGTACCTAAACTCTTTGAATTGAAGAGCAGCACTTGATTCGTGGCAGGATCTCATCATTTTACAGTTGAAAGGGATAGATACAACCGTAAGTTCTATGCTAACAGTTTCTACTGTCGCACTTCCCGTTTGAGGAACTCTCTTCCGGTTCTTGCTTTCCAGTCAATTTTGGTCTACAAAAATTTAAATGCAACGTCAATCGTTATATTCACTTCTTTTGTCCTTAATAACCTATTTCTTTCTGTCTCTCTTTCGCAGTGGTTTGATTTAGATAGATACATAGATGGATAGAAAGATATGAATTGACGGGAGATAGATAGATAGATAGATAGATAGATAGATAGATAGATAGATAGATATTAACAGTTCCATCGATCAGTTAGGATCCAGATATCTCTATGAGCCAATTTGATCAAACTGGACTAAGTTGAACGCGCGACCGTTCGATAATCGATAGAAGCAGATTAAAGCAAAGAATGGATCGGAAATATGAAAGATGCCAAACAATACGCAATAAAATCGAGAAAGAGAAAGAATCGGGCATAAAGAAGGAAAGTTCCAGAGTCGAAAGGTAGACTGGAGACTTGGAGAAAAAAAAAGGAGAAAAGATGAAATGTATTAGAAAAGTAGTAATCAACAAAGAATTCGGATTTCAATGAAGAAAACATGGCAAAATGGGGAAATGAAATGAGATTATTTGAACAACGAATAGTGGAGAAAGCGAAAAAGTAAGGACCTTATATCTATAAAAGAAAGCGAAAAAAAAAGAAAAGAAAGAAGAAATATAAAAAAGGCAGAAGAAAGAAAGAAAGAAAGAAAGAAAGAAAGAAAAATGAAAGAAAAAAGGAATGAAAAAAGTTTAGAAATAAGACATGAAAGAAGAAAAATTGAAAATAAAAAGAAAAAATGGGTGTAAAGAAAGAAATTTAAATAGGGTACAAAAGAATAAAAAAAATCGAAAATAAAAAGAAAAGGTAGAAAATAAATGAAATAGGGCATGCAAGTAGCCATAAACGAAGAAAGAAAGAAAGAAAGAAATATGAAAAGAACGAAAGAAAGAAATATGGAAATAAAGAAAGAAAGAAAGAAAGAAATATGAAAAGAACGAAAGAAAGAAAGAAAGAAATATGAAAAGAACGAAAGAAAGAAATATGGAAATAAAGAAAGAAAGAAATATGAAAAGAACGAAAGAAAGAAATATGGAAATAAAGAAAGAAAGAAAGAAATATGAAAAGAACGAAAGAAAGAAAGAAATAAAGAACGAAAGAAAGAAAGAAAGAAAGAAAGAAATATGAAAAGAACGAAAGAAAGAAATATGGAAATAAATAAAGAAAGAAAGAAAGAAAGAAAGAAATATGAAAAGAACGAAAGAAAGAAAGAAAGAAAGAAAGAAAGAAATATGAAAAGAACGAAAGAAAGAAATATGGAAATAAAGAAAGAAAGAAAGAAAGAAATATGAAAAGAACGAAAGAAAGAAATATGGAAATAAAGAAAGAAAGAAAGAAAGAAATATGAAAAGAACGAAAGAAAGAAATATGGAAATAAAGAAAGAAAGAAAGAAAGAAATATGAAAAGAACGAAAGAAAGAAATATGGAAATAAAGAAAGAAAGAAAGAAAGAAAAAAGAAAGAAAGAAATATGAAAAGAACGAAAGAAAGAAAGAAAGAAATATGAAAAGAACGAAAGAAAGAAATATGGAAATAAAGAAAGAAAGAAAGAAAGAAAGAAAGAAAGAAAGAAATATGAAAAGAACGAAAGAAAGAAATATGGAAATAAAGAAAGAAAGAAAGAAAGAAATATGAAAAGAACGAAAGAAAGAAATATGGAAATAAAGAAAGAAAGAAAGAAAGAAATATGAAAAGAACGAAAGAAAGAAATATGGAAATAAAGAAAGAAAGAAAGAAAGAAATATGAAAAGAAAGGAAAAAATAGAAAATAAAAAGTAAGTAAATGCATAAAAGAAAGAAAATACAAACAAACAAACAAATAAAAATGATTTCGGAATGAACCAGGAAACCGAATAAATAAACAAAGAAAAGAAAGAATGAAAAGAAAAAGAAAGGACAAAAGAAGAATATTTTAAAGAAAGAGAGAAAAAGAAAAAAAGTTTAAATAGTCCCATGTCTGTCCCAATATAGTCATTACATTTACGTAAATATAAACAAGTAAATGTAACATCTATTATGGGACAGAAATAATATCAGTGATAATGTTAAAAAGAGAGAAGTTGAAGAAAAAATTGGATAAAAGGAAAAATAACAACAAGAAAATGACTCTATTGAAGTGGAAAGAAAATATTAAAGGAAGAAAATGAAGAAAGAAAAATGGACGGGAAAATAAAAACAAGAGAAAAACAGTGTGAAAGAGAGAAAGAAAATATGAAAGAAAACAAAAAGAGAGAAAGAAGAAAAAAGGAAGAAAGAAAATATAAAGAAAGAAAGAAAGAAAGTAATAGCAATAGCAGCGTTTTGTATGACAACTGGGACGATAGAGAAGTGCTTGCTGGATACGAAAGAAGTATATATACGAACGCAGAGATAGTCAAAGAAGTCAGTCAGTTGACAGACAGTGACAAAGACTGACCGCCCGACCGGTAGGCAGACAATGAAGCGATGAAGAACTATGGGTGCGGCTTGGAAGTTGGGTGGCGGGTAACTGAATGTCATAGTGATGATATGATAACGTCAAATGAAAGATTCGTTCTTCAATTTACGACTCGTCCACCTCCTTTCACAACCCCGGACTTTATTCTTCCAGCAGCATCACCTTCCCGACACCCTATCTGCCTCCATCTTGATTCCTAGCCTTGCCTCTACCCATGTACCCTGCAATTCTTTCCCCTGAAACTTTCGCCCACTGTTCAGAGTCCCCATCTGACTCTCATATCCTCGCAGCTTCGATGCGCTCTTTTTAAGATTTCTCGTTCCATTCATACCATTCCAACAAGGCAGTTCTCTTTGGCTACACTATCTCTTCTACACCTTCCAGCATGCCCACAAAACTCTGCCGCCTCGTCTCCATCCTGCACCCAACCTGTACGGCGCAGATCTGTCTCGGGCGCCCCTCACCTCTTTCTCTTTGCCTCAATTTCTCCTGATCCTAACCCATCCCCGACCAACCCCGAGTTTTTTACTACCCTGTTTCAAAATCATCCTCATATCTTCCCAATTCTCCATCATATTTTTTTATCATTTTATCCTTGTCACTCGTCTCCACTTCCCATCCCCCTCTATCTTCTATTATCTTGCCTCCCTCCCGCATACTTTAATCAACCTACTCTCCCCGATTTTGTCTCTTTTCACCCCACCAATCGCCCGCCCTTCTTTCCTACTTTCATTTTCGTGTCATTGTTATTGTCTACTTTCACTTTCACTTTCGTACTGTCTGCTGAATTTTTGCTATTGTTCTCTTCTGATTGTGTCCGTCTCTGTCTGTCTGTTTGTCGGGCGTTCTGTCAGTCCATCTGTCTGTGTCCCCCCACCCCTCTTATATTCATTTGGAAAAGAAATTCTTTTAAAAATGTCAAACATGTTCAAAACCGATCGGTTTTGTTACTTCCACTTTCATGATTTTTCTAAAATCTTCCAGTAGCCTATTTCGAATGCTTACAAGTGTTGAATACATACACTTCTCACTTAACGACTTACTTTTTTAACAACGAGAACTTACACTCAGCTATAAAATATTTTTTTAAATTTCAACCAGGCAGTATTGTAGGTTGAACGAAAACGCTGATCCTGGTAGATTTGTCTTTCTTCAAAACGAATGAAAATAAATAAAACGAAGCGAAAAATAGATAGAAACTTACTTGTGTAGCATTCACAGCATGCAAGCTGAAGTAATTTTTATTGTTCTGATGAGCTTTCCTCTTTGGTATATCGACCTAATATATCTAAGCGCAGTACTAGATTGACCCTTAGGTCTCATCATTTTAATGTTGAAACTACTCCACGTAACATGTTCTATGCGAATGGTTGTTTCTCTCGCACTTCTCGTGTGTGGAATACGCTTCCGTCTTCTTGCTTTCTTGTCAATAACGATCTTCAAAAATTTAAATGCGACATCTATCATAATCATCCGTCTCCTTGAATTCTCTTCTTTTATTATTCATCCTCTTCAATAATGTTTTTCTCATATTCTTTTACTCCCAATAACCTAATAATGTCTTAGTGGCTTTATTGCCTTGGCAGGTGTAAAATGACTTTTTAAAAAAGTAAATATTATAGAGTTAGTTTTCAAATTTGTTTGTTATGCATACTGTTCAGCACATTATTGCAATGCATGAATATTCAGAAATTAATTACAATTGTTATAAATGATGTAAAAAGGACATTGAAGTTGTCTACAGCTGGCTATCACAAATCCATCATACACGTAGTATACCTGAAATAGCGGTTAAGTATCATTTTTTTCACATAGCAACCAACTCGTTTAGCGACCAGTTCGTTGAAGTGGTTAAGTGAGTTCTCAATCATGATTGTATTGATTTAGATGTTGGCGAACATTCCTAGAATCGTGGGTTTCCACTTGCTTATACCATCCAGGCATTGCGCACTTCAAGCTTGTCTCGCTAGATGAATTAGAGACTGGATAGTGAGTTCGATCCTCACTGGTACTCCATATTTTTGGACTTGTACTTAGTGAAACACTATACTACTCAGGTGTATCTTTAAGGCTAAGAAATCCCGACAAAAGAGAAAGTATTTTCCGTAGAATGCTATCAAAGCTCAAAGAAGTCAAAGCGCGTGCGTGCGCACACACACACACACACAAACACACAGAGACACAGACACACACACATATATATATTAAAGTAGACATTTTTATTCGATAATTTTATTACTTTAAACGTTATTATTATTGGATAGCCATATTTGAGTAGATGCTCCGTTTATTTTAAACTGTTTTCATTTCGTCTACCGGTCTGCACACCCGAGAAAACGTAAGAAAAAAAAATCGTAGCCAAGCGGTTAAAGCACGCTGGATCAGGTGGTGGTTTCTCCTGCTAAGGGGGATGCAAGTTGATATCCTGCCAAAGGGCATATTTTTCTTTATTGCGTTTTATCGAGCATACAGGCAGCAAATGAAATAAATACTCCTTTAACATACGGGACATCTACTCAAAATACGGGTATCCACTAAATATAACGCTTGAAGTAATATATATATATATATATATATATATATATATACCCAAGTATATAATTGGTATATACGGAATGAATTCCAATAACCAACAATTACTATTCTTAAAAGGATTTTTTTTTTATTTTCAACATCATCACTTGATAAGACACAGAGTGTGTTGAAACAAAATGGCTATTTTTGTAGTGATTTTATAACATACTTATGTTATAATTTTTTTTTATAAAAAATAATTATATATATATATATATGTGTGTGTGTGTGTGTGTATTTAGGCAGCATTTTTTCATTGATACATGTTTCATTAAATAATATGGACAAGTGTTGTCTATTTATTTTATGTAAATTCTTTTCATATCGTCTGATAATGGCTGCCACATGGGCACTGTAGTCAAGTCGTATCTCCAACAACGTTCAGTTGTTCAACCCCCCCCACACACACACTCGGAATGGCAAGTCCTCAGCAAAAGGCGTTCTGCGTTCTCGTGTTCGCGAAAGCAAATACGGTTGTCACGGTGCAGCGTGCTTTTCGAAGGCAATTCGACATTAATCCACACTCTCCTAAAAACATTTGATGGTGGTATAAACAGTTTCAAGAAAGTGGGTCTCTGTGTAAAAGAAAAAGTCCAGGATGACCACGAGTTTCAGAGGAACAAGTGGCGAGAATCTGTCCTGTGTTTGAGGGGAGTCCACAGAAGTCCACAAATCGAGCAAGCCGTGAGCTTGCGATCTCTCAATCTACTCTCTGGCGTGTGCTAAGAAAGCGTCTACATTTGAAACCTTATAGACTACGCCTCGTTCATGCACCTACCAAGACCTTGCACTTTGTGCTTGGCCTGCGAGATTCCCAGACCTCACTGTGCGTGATTTTCTTGATGTTCCCCGTATTGCAGGTGGTGGCCATATTGAACACTTGTAAAGATGGAAATAAAAGTTGATTGTGAGCAGAATACTTGTGACTTGGCTGGAGTTTTCTATTGCGTTTCCATATTAAAATAATGCGTATTAAAATCGGTTCATTCTTTTTGAATAACCCGGTATATCTTTCAAACGAATATTTCTTCATCTGTTGGTGGGAAGATGTTCAGATTCTTTCGTCTTTCATTTGAAACTGCTACTTTTCATCTTGTCAGTTTTCTGTTATTGTTAACCATATTCTACAGCTGATTCCTCCGGCATATCGACACTTGATTGGTCCAACCTTTCATGATTCAGAACCCGAATAACAAACCAGCTTAAGACACACATCTCTAATCGGCAAAGACTCTTTCGAATAGTATATCAATGCCTACACTTACGGCCATATCACGTTGAAATACTGCTTACCGTACTATCCGCGAAGTTAAGCAAAGATGAGTCAGGCCAGCACCTAGATGGGTGACCGATTAGGAATACTACGTGCTATAAGCTCAGATGTGTGGGTGGGTAATGGATAATGGCTGAGAATCGTTAATCGGAAAGCTGAGTTACATTTTCGTTTGGGTTCGTTATATTCAGTTACGCGTAAATACCGTCAGAAAATGTATGAATCCGCCTCGCCTTTCCCTAGCTATGGGTTAATTAGTAAGACATGTATGGTAAATCATTATTTTCTTTCCCACAAAAAATTACAACCTAAAAAAACTTTCTAGCTTTAAATAACCTGCAAAGGTTTGAAAAGCCGTAAAAAACAAATCAAACAATCAATATTATCTAATTGTCTGTCGATCTATCAGTTTGTGTGCATCTATATATCTGCTTCAGTCGGCACAATTTTTTTCAGTAGCGTGCAGAAGGGGAGCAGAAGGTGGGACGGTCCCGAGGATCAATATCATGGAGGTAATCAAATCAAAGAGTGAAATAACATGTTGCCCAGTGAATAAAAGCATTGCTAATCCTTTGACTTGACCCAAAGATTTATGAGTTCAATACTTGGCTACAGC